TTTTTTTTTTTATCATATCAATACTTGAATCAATGTCTACACTTTGTAGGTCTACCCCCTCATCCACCCCCACACACACACAGACACACACTCACTTAACCCCCTCCCCCCGTGGCATTCTTACAGTGAACAGAAAAAGAAACGGTTTCTGCCGCGCACCCCCCCATCCAGCCCTCCTCCTTCCTTCCCCAGCTCTCATCCTCTCAAAAGCAAAGTGTCAGAAAACATGGCATCTTACAGCGCTCGCTTCCACTCAGAGGAAGAGGAAAGGGAAGGAGCTGTACCACCCAGTCGGGACTGATTGAAGACATCTCACAAGCCTTAGGTGTACGACATTCCTCCTCCTCCTTTCACTGGCGCTTTTATAAACAAGTTTCAAACACCACTGATCTAGTTTGACAAACTTTCTCCAAAGAGCATTTGAAGACAGGATAAGAAAGTGACACCCCCACATGAGCTTTTTTTTTTGTTTAAGGCACCGTTAGAATCAGGTCCCTACATTTTTGCTTTTCAGTCAACGCCTTCTCTCTCTCACTCTCCTCTGTCTTTCTCTCACTTCACTTCCTTTTGACTTTTTCCTTTCTACTCTGACAAGTCTCCTGTGGTCCTCTCAATTGCACAAGAAATAGCGTTAAATCAAGAAAAAAAAAGAGGGAGAAGAAAGAACTGAATGCTTAAACGAGCTCTGTCAAAGATGCAGCTTGAATGTAGCTCAAGTGCTATAATGAGGAGCGTCATCCGGAAGGCAATTTCTGCATTATAGTTGGACTTTTTATTTTTAAAGGGGCTCTAAACGGGAAGGGAATTGCTGACTTCAGAGCAGAACTTGAGCTCTTAAATTTGAATCCACTGTTTCAGTCCCAGAGCGGGGCTGCATGTAGTTGTGGGTAGCTGATGTCTACATCATGTTCTGTCAATATTTACGCACGTAAACAATATTGTGCTTAAATCATGATGTTTTCTTTAATATTTATCTCAGAGATGAGGTCTAATGAGCTTTCCCTCTGCCAACTAACATTTTGTTTTTTTTTTTTTGTTTTTTTTTAGCTTAATGGTTTTGATGACAAGAACAAACAAGATTTAGCCTCGGGATGTTTTTAACCACTGACTCGCTCACACATATACTCACACACACTCTCAAGCAGTTTTTCAAAGGAGTAACGTTGTCACCCTGCTGCAGGTTTGATTAACGCTCCAGAAGATACACAGACTTTACATGAGTGGTGGCATCAAAGCAAACAGCCAGACAGTTATTCTGTCAAAGGTTTCCTTTGTGCCTCAGTGAGCTGTGTGTTTGTTAAGGGAAAGATCCTCTAATTAAAGACAGCAAAAAAAAAAAAAAAAGGCAAAACAGTATATAAGCTAAGGAAGGTGAAAGAGTGTATTATTGAAAGATTAATTTGTAAAAATTGTTGGGGCTTGAATAAGATGGTAGAAAAAGATGTTGATCATTTCAGTGTAAAGCTATTTTTGTTGTATATAAAAGGTCTTAGTTATGCTGCATTTCATTTGTTCGTTTGGTATTATTTGCCTTTATCCCCAGCAGGCTGTAAGTAGGGTCTAGAAACAAGGGGAATACTTCTTGCTTATGGGCTGAGAGGAGCATTCAAATGTTTTTTTGCCATTACCAATTTAAAATAGCAGCAGGAAACAAGATTTTAAAGAGGAACATGTGCTTTTGAAAATCTTGACAAGATGCCAAAAGTACTTTTAAATTCTCAATAATTTTTTGCGTCAGTAATAGTGTAAATGCTCTCAACCCTGACGCATATCTGCTCATTTATCACTCAGTTGATAGTTTTATTTTCCTTCTGTCTAGAGAAAGATAATGGAGCATGGACAAATATTGTCTAGACCTAATTGCTATTTGTTTTTCTAATATTCATACATTCACACATCAGTATCAGGTGGATTTATCACCCGTAGGGAGACCCTAGAGATGTCACAATCTGATATCGGGCTGATATTGGGCAAAGAACTAGTATCGGATTATATCAGCGTCTACGTAAAATCTACGATATTGTCATGCTGATAAAAGCACGGTGCTTCTGTCTAAAGAATATGTAACCTGTTTGCTGATAATAAATGGGTCAGTTGTTGTTATAGAAATTGTTCTCTGAGCAATACGTGATCAAACCCCTTCTAATGTTCCACACTACTAAATGAGTATTAGAAGTATGGATGAGCCGTATTGATATCATATGTGGTAAATATCAGTACTGGTTAGTTCTCAAAGGTGCAAAATCTGTATCGTATTGTAAATGAAAATGTTATATTGGGACATCCCTATTGGGAATGTTTAACCTTCACTAGAGACGGAAAACCAGCAGCTTTGCTTTTTGTCTCCATTATCCCGATTTATAACAATTACCAACACAGGAACATGTTCACGTCTATATTTATAGCACTGTGAGTATTGTTCCATCTAAACTTTGCTCCTGTGCCATCGCGCACTGCTCGCTCATTCCCAGCAGACAAGAAAACCTAATTGGTGTAATAAAATCACGAACACAAACTGCAAATCAATTTGACCAATAACATTTTTTTTCTGTATCCATGTATCATTCGCTTTTCAACTTAAAATCATCAATGAAAGTACAAGAGACAATCCCCCCCCCCCCAAAAAAAAAATGTCATTACATAATAAAGAGAAATTAAAAATGTATAAGAACAAATGAATAGAAAATACATTCAACGTATTTTTATTCGGCTTTCGTCTCTCATAGTATCTCGTTTTATTGAGCACTGTTAGAAATTACCTCCGTCTGATGGATACTGGATGGGCCAGCCGTCTGGTGCACAATCTACTCTTCAAAATATCACCATTAAATCAGTTTTAGAATTTGAATACATAATCAAAGCGTTATTCTTTACTATTTTCTTTTATTACAATTTTTCTGCGTTCTAATAATGAAGATATCCTTCTATCCAGAGGTAGAAAGGACAAATAGTTTAATACATATTGTAAGATCTATTGGTGTTACAGTTCAAGGAAATAGAAAAGTATCCACTTTATACTATCTGCCGTTTACCTAGACAATTAAACTGCTTCCAAGACAGCAGGGTTTATCTAAACTTCCCTGCTGTGTTTCCATACTCTCGAGTTTACACAACCCTTTAAGTTGTCCCATTTTTTTGTGTAATAGCCACAAACTCGATCCATTTCTCACTTTGTCTTGGTCTACTGTATCACAAAAAACCCCAATGACTTACATGGATGTTTGTGGCTTTACGACCCTCACTTGCTCCCTTGGCCTCAGAAAGTTTACATGACAAGGTTTTGAAAAGTTCATAGAATTTTCATGTTAGACTTTCCCAAATTAGATCCATGTAGTGTAGTGCAGAGCTGAGGACTTACCTTAGCTAGATATGAATCATTAAACTCTGTTTACTTCCTCTGATATAATTGGTATGAAAAATGCTTTCAGTTGGAGTGATTCATGATTGGATTTGTCTGGTTTAAATGCACTGAAACCAAGAAGCCTCTTTTGTTGGAGATCTGCTCTGAAATTGTCCATGAAAGCATTGAAACCGGTCCTTTCCAAAATGGCGTATTTGACTAAGAACACTAAACTTTTTAGACTGCCTGTTAAACAAGTAGTACATTCATTTTATCCATCATTCACTGTGTAAAGTTTTGGCCACACCTTTATTTCTATTCTGGGCTAGAAATGATTCACTTTCACACAAGTTTTATGTGAATGTTTTTTCTTTTTTTGTTGGAGTTGCTGTTATTGGTCCTGCATCCATTCCAGTAGATTTAATATGGCTTTTTTTCGCCCCTTTATTTTTAAAACACACAAATAGACAAAAACTTTACTTCCATTCACTTTAGAGAATAGTGGGGGGGGTAAAGGTGTCTACATAAAAGCCTTCTAAATGATTTTCACAAATCTTATTATAATTTCTTCATATTTTGATTACTTTTACACAGATCAGTGCCAAAAAAACTGTATATGTTTGTAGATGTTTTCTCATCCATTTTTGGCAGCAACTCAATTACAGAGCAGCAGATGCAGTGGAAGACCATCATGACACGATGTTTCCTGTGTTCTCAGACAGAGATGAAGATCAAAGTGTTGGAGGCCAAGCACCAGGAGGAGAAACTGAAGATGCAGCAAAGACATGATGCAGACGTTGAAAAGGCAAGAGTGAGCAACATGAGGACATGACAAACTGAGTTTGCAGCCATCTTAATCACCAGTTTAATTCTAATTATTTTACCTGTGTTAGCTTTTTTTTTTAAGTATTAAGGGTTTTCTTTAAATAAGAAATGATTAAAGCATACACAAGTATTTGATTAACTAAAGTTAAACTGGCCCCCCACAGAAAAATATGAAATAGATAACCCCCCCTAATAACTGCAACTATGGATGGAAAAATCTTCTATGCAGCCATTTAATCTGCAAGCAATGAAACAATCCTGTTTTCAAGGCTTCTTGTCAGATGCTGAACGCAGCACTAAAGCTGTTTTATTTCACAGGAAGAGCTGTCATTTAGGCTGCACTTCAATCACTTAAATGTTGTTTCATCCTCATATGATTATCCTTTGCTGCCACCGAAGCTTTTAACAAAGCAGAAAAAAGCTTTTCGGTTCACTCTTAACTTAAGATGCTGCAATTTTTTACATTTAGCAGAATGGCACTTCAATCTCTGTTCGTTCTGTCTTCTATTAATGTTGACTGCGAGTTATTTTCAATTTATTTTCAACTATAAGGCTTTAAAGATGATTAAGATGCGTCTTTATGTTGAACAGTTGGTGAAGAATGCAAATTATTTATAATAGAAGCTAGGGCACACCAAACTACCAATGTTGATCGCTGGGCTGTATTGTCCTATACTGATGTGATACTACTGGGGAATCAATGAACGGTTTACTTGCTATGTGAGTGCATGCATCTGACCCGATATAAACATTGTTTAAAAAAAGGTATCAAATGAAAACAGATATAATCAACTTAATATAATTTATTGACAAATAACGTTCCCATTATCAGCAAGGAGTAACACCAAATGCCAAAAAAAGAAACAACTGGATAAGAATGCCTCATTGGAGTAGTTCATCCAATAACCGTTCTTTTGGTTAAGAGGTGTAGTTTGAATGTTCATTTTTTTGTTTTTATAAAAAATATAATATAAATATAATATAATAAATATAATATAAAAAATATATATATATATATATATATATAAAAAAAAAGTGATCAAGCTTCTTATGAGATGAATCCCTTTCAGTGAGGAACAGATACACAACAGCTTTACATCATAATTCAATATCACTACAAATCACAATATAATTTCATTTCACAACAGTGACTTTTAAACATTTCCTGTATTTGGGTATACATTACAGTCTTTGGTTACAGTGTTTGGCACCGACTGACGTTCAGGATGCAGCTGACTCACGCCAAACAAAGAAACCCAATACACTGGCTCAGTGAGAAATGACATTCACCACAGACACAGAACTGGTGGCTGCAGCTGTAGGCTGGGTTCAGGGGTGGGCTAAGCTCCAACACTGTAACTTTTAGCTACGAAATGTGCAACCATAATAAGGTGACTAAATATCCCCATTTTCAAATACCTGTACCCAGCAAATGCCATCCCCTCCCTCTAATGTCTTTGATAACTGACAAAGAAGATAGTGCAGGGCTGTATAGAAAAGGCAAAGCTCAGCTTACAGTTACAGGCCATGAGAAAAATGAATAAGGACTGAAAGAGCTTTATATGAAAGAGAACATGCAGTAAAAAGCTGCAACAAATAAGGTTTTTTGTTAAAGTCCTTGGCTGTGCTTGTATATATCATCAAGAGAATAATTGTATGCAAATGTATATATATCTCCCATGCAGAGCATATGAATGTTGGGAGGTCCCTATTCTAAATACACTGTTGGTAGGAAGCATTTTGCTTACTCTTCTTACCTCTTCCTTATTGTCAGCATTATTCAGACAGCATTTAACATGGAGACCGCTGACACACATGTGGCCTTACTGATTTGCACTACTCAGAGGCCTAATACTAATTACGGACGTTTTAGAAACTACTAAAGAAATTCTATTGCATTGCTTTTTACAGCTAGGGAAGCAGCTGACGGACATCAGGAGAAGGTCTACAGTAAATGAAGATTTCTTTAAAAATGTTGCTGGCCCATTTGACATTGACGCTGCTGTTGGAACATTTAGCATGGATCATGGAACATCACTACAAACCTCTTCTTGAACACACCAATGAGTGCCTTACCCTGTGATGTAACGCTTTATTGACACTATCTTAGTAAATTAGTGAGCCTGATACTTAGTGTTGACCCAGTAATTCAGTTCTAGCTTTATTCACACATAACACAGATCATTTACTGGGTAAGGTTGTGAATGTGAAAGGGCTTTCACTGATTACTAGTCCTTGTTTACTGTATAAAAATATGACCAGTGCATACAGATTTAGGTGAAACCCTGATTTGTTAGATTATCAGAATAATGGGTGCTGCCTAACATACAGTCTTTGGCCTCCTTAACTGCTCCTGGACTCACTGTCTGTGATTTTACATGGAAATACAAATGTTACACTAAAAGATAATCTACAGTGATGTTGGTTGCAAATGTCAGTATAAACACAAGCTTTTCTAGCTAAATTGCAGATTTTAATCAATATTGTTGTTCTGAAAGAGGAGTCACTTTACCTGCCAATGAGTGTAATGTTTTTATAGACTATTGTGCTTTATTTGGTAAATTTAAACAATTTTTCCTTCCTTGGCTGTAATCTCTCCTCTCTACTTTATGCTCTGGATGTTCTCTCCATTAGGATGTCCTCTAAAGGCCTCAAAAAGAGATCATAAAAGCTCCCATTTCCCACCATGCGGTGTACCCTGTCTCACCCTGACACTCTACCACTGCCTTCTGTTCTCTACACCCTGAAAAGAAAAACAAAAAAAAAAACTCTTTGGGGTGATGAAATGGGAAAAAAAAAGGTATCCCTAAATGTTTGTTGAACTTTGCTCCAGGCGCCCAATCGTCCTTTCATCTCCTCCATCTCATTCACACTGGGATGATGACAGGCTTAGCTAATAAGGAACGTCACCGGCTTCTAGAGTAGGATAAAAAAAAAAACATCTCTTATTTCCAATGAGAGAAACATGTTGGGATAAAGTTCATCCGTTAAAAAAAGATATTTTATTCATTTGTCGTTACCAAAGGTTTGAGTTTTAGGGTCAAAGTGTTGCATATGTGGAGCAAACGTTTTTATTTTAGGGAAAGCCTTTGCTTCCATCACATTTCCATGCACATACAAACACGGCTGTGCATAAGTGCTCCGAGTTCTCTCCTGTATTTCTGTTCCTGGAGCTGCTGCTCTTCGTCACCTAATTGAACTAATTGGACCCAGATGGCAGCAGCCAGCAGATGCACTTACCTCATCACCTCAGCACAGGTGGTTCACTCAGCTGCTATTTTACTCCGTTTTTATCTGGTCTCTGAAGTAACAGAAATACATAAAGAATTTTTCTGGGGTATATAAAGTGAATGTGTAAAATGTCTCTTCAAAGTTAAAAAATCTTAGATAATAATACATGTTTAATGATCAATTACCATGAGTACAAGCAGTTTGTATTCCTGTATTTTTCTATGCTCACTCACTGATGAAAGTAAACCATAGTGACATTTGTTGGATTGGGTCATGGTAACATTTTAGGATGCATTAGGTTAAATTGTCATGTGCACTTATCCTGTTCCAATTTAAGTCAATAATAAATCGGTCATTAACTTTTAACTATTATATCTGTAACAGTAAATCTTAATTTTCCCCACTTTTTCCAGATTACTCTCCTTGTACATGCCTTTGATCACTAAAAACTTGATCATGTGTGAGCATTTTTTAAGATGGACGTCCATCTAACTTGTCAACAGTCAGAATTAATGCATGGTGGGGGAAATATTTCATGAAGCCGATTGGTGCTTTTGCAGTTTTGCCATTTTAAATACGAAGTTTATGACTCATCTATTTGAATCTGAACGTTCAATTCTCAGAACGAATGTAAAAGGAAGAGCTGTCCAGTTTTTTAGATGGTGTCTCTCTTTAGTAATGCAGTTTGTCCCTTATTTGAAATAGGAATTATTTATGTATTTAGAGAATGTTGGTCTGTAGAAGATGGATAATAATCTGGGGTGAAGGATTTTTAATCATATGACTTTATTTGATAAATGGCATAAAAAAAAAAAAAAAAATTTTTTTTTTTTTTTTTTTTTAAACAGTCAGATGTTTTTTTTCTTAAGTTAAAAGGAGACACAGTTATCGTTGTGGTTGGTCCTTGTTCTGATCTTTCTTTGGAGTGCATTTATTTCTGCTCCCTCTATTTGCTATCCATAGTATTTGTTTTGATTTGTTAATACATGTTTAATTTTGTTTAAATTGAAACTTGTGTAACATCTGTTATCCATATGTCATTTTTATCTTGTAAATGGAAGAAGAGGACACAATGTCAGCCTGAAAAATTGGTCACAAAAAAACATCATATATCTTGGATCACCTAGTCTAAATAATCGATATTAGCTTTAAAAATAACTGATGCCCAATCTCTAAAGCATACATTCATGTTTGTGCATTTCATTGGTCCTTAATGAAATGACCACCTGTCCACGGTTTGGCTGATGGGCTCCAGTCTATTCTGCAATGTATATGTAGATATACTCTGTCCCTTTAAATACTGATGCCCTGCTGCTGGTGGCTGATGAGATGATCCGTACATCCCGATTCTGCAATAAATGTAAGCTGCTTACGTCTGCTCCTGGCTGTAACTGAGACTGCATCTTTGATACAGCTTGTTTTGTTAATCTGTTGCAGAACTTAATTCAATATCAAATGCAAAACAGTTGCAATAAATGCACAGCTTTCAAAACTGCTTTGTAAATGTAAAAAAGAAATCCCACAACTATTTTAAGCTGTTTTTACATTCATGCTTACTTTGCCACTAACATTTTTTTTATATTTTCCATATTTAAAAGGACGTGTCTGATTGTGTGCGTAGTTCTTCATCAAAGTAGTTGTATATAGCTGTTTGCAACAATAAGCTAATAATTAGAAACAAAACCTTTGGATGATGACATAACATGAACAGTTGATGTAAGGATTATTAAATGCAGTTCCTTCTTATCACCCAATCAATGGTAAACATGACCATTGATTAGAAATCTTTGAAGCTATGAGCCATGATAAAGAATAAAGCAAAACACAAAGCCCAGTTATGCTCAAATGAGTCTAGTTAGTTTCTCTGTGGTGCTGAAGGTTATTTTTTCCCCTCTCTGTTCAGATTCTGGACCGCAAAAACCACGAGATAGAAGAGATAAAAAGTGTGTATCGGGCTAAGCAGAAGGAATCCGAGGAGATGATCCGCTCACTCGAGAAGAAAGGTGAGAGGTGATGTGATTGCGGGATAACTGGAAGGATGTTTACAGTAGTGTCTCTGAACACTCAGAGTAAAAAGCCTAGAAAGGTACAACCCACACTAGACCATGCTGGTGCAGAGTGATATTCTCCAGCTGTGCTGCTCCGTCTGCAGTTTAAGCTTGTTTCTTTGTTCTACTTTAGATTCCTGGATGTTTTCAGTTAAAAGCATTAAGTTCAAATTATAAACTTATTTTTTTTCTAACACTTTCAATGCATACAAACAGACAGGCATTGAAAGGAAAGGTCTGACTTCCCTTGTCTGTTTGTTTTCAAACTCTCCCACAGTTCAAAGTGTTCTGCGGGAATCCCAGGTCATCTGTGAAAGTAAAGAGAAGCGGATAGTGGAGCTGAAGAAGATCTCAGATCAGAGTGCCGAGTCTATAAAAAACGAGTGGGAGAAGAAGGTGGGATACTCTGCAGCCCTGCGCTCTGTAAGCCGACTCAAGCCAGAGGGAAAGTGTTGGTTCACGGGAGATCTCTCTGCACAGAGCCAGGCTGCATTGCTGAGAAAACAGATTCAACTCGTTTCTGATCATCCTTCCTTTGGGCTCTCACTGAATGTTCATAGGTTTATTCACTAATATCTTCAGGGTTGCTGACTGTCTTTAAATATAGAAGATGTTAAGAAGTGATGGAAATCTTCAATAGTCTTCTGAATTGTTGCTCATTCTCCAGCTCTATTATACAAATTGCTTACAATGCCACGCCCTTTCTCTTTGTTCTATTTAGTGTCTTAAACCTTTTCCCATTTTGTCAGATTACTATCACATACTCCTAATGTTTTTAAAGTGGTTTAATATTAAAAACCAAGTGCTGCACAATAGAAAAGATGCTTCAGGTGTAGATGTATCCAGCCCACCTGGGTGAGTTATTCAAGTGCCCTCTAATGGTGCAGTCACAGCTGCCGGCCTTTTAGAACATGTTTTATTAAACACTGAAATTCTCTATTCTTGTTCATGACAGAAAAGTAACTCAGTCTATTTGAAGGAGAGATTGATAGTAGTTGTTAAATTATACCACAGATCTATTAGTTCTAGTTCTGTACATTGGCTACACCAGTCTAAGACTAAGAACTTTTGATATCAAAATGGGTGTTTTTCTGTAACCTGGAAATCATTCCGTCTAAATGACGATCTGACCAACTTCTTTCTTGCTGGTAAAGAAAAACACCTCAGCATGATGCAGCCACCTGTAGCTTTTTAGTTTCTACCTCACAAACAGTTTCAGTATGTCTGCCAAAAAGTTCAGCCTCAGGTCCAATCAACATGTCGCTCCCCCGTACTTATCAAGGGTGTCTTTGCTGCTCATCTCTCTAAAGCTGTCTGTTGAGATAGACAGCCGTGTATTGGTTGAACAGAGGTCCAACAGATGTTTAAATGTTGTTTTGCATTCAAATACCTGAACTTCCTCCCTGTTACTGGGTTTTCATGGGACTGTTTTATCACTGATGTTCTGTAACAAACCTCCAAGGCCTCCTGAGTACAGCCTTAAATATGAATAAGGGTCTGAATGTAAATCCATTCTATACTTATAAGGTTTTTATTTGGAAAAAATGAAACCCAAAACATTATCCTTCTGATTCCCAATGATGTTTTGCTCTGTATTGTTATTTTACACAAATAAGGTTGAATTCATGGAAGTTTCAAAACTTTTTTATTCATTTTATTTTAGTCGTCTGAAATTTAAAATGCTAAAACAAATTCTTATACGATGGGAAATGTAATAGTATTTATTGTTGATCAGGAAAAGAGTGATTTTGGGGGAAACGTTCACAGATAATTTACTCATTCACCATTGTCTCCTCAGTAGGAGTTTATATCTCCAGGAGTTTGTTAGAAAGCAGGTGATCCAAACTTGGTGCCAGTTGATCAGTGTCTAATATTGAGCTTTTCTCTGCCTTTTCAGTTCCATGCGGCTGTGGCAGAGATGGAGCAGGAGAAGTTTGAAATGCAGAAGAAGCACACTGAAAGCATCCAGGAGCTGCTGGACGACACCAACCGAAGGCTGGCTAAGATGGAGTCTGAGCACAAGGCTCGTTCTCAGGCCACTGTAAGTACTGGGAGAGAGAGATAGGAAAACTCGGAACAGTGGTTTGGACGTTATTCGCCTTGTTCCAAAATGTTTCTATCTTAAAGGTATAGATGACTATCTTTTATTTCCGGGTGGATCATCTAAATAAGTGGTCCTCCTAATTGTCAGTCATTCTGGTGATTTGTTTACGTAAGGCCGTCCTATGTACTCGTCCCCAGTTAGCTATATTTTTCTGCGCATTTTCAGCCGTATATGTGTGGTGAGCTCCGGTTTCAGAGAGTCATTGTGGCTCACCTTTTTCACTGCGGTTTTTGAAAATGGCCCAGGGTCCTAAGAGAAAAAGTGTCCACGGACTGGAGTGTATGACGAGAAAAGAAAGGCCTTAGAAGAGGCAGATATATCGGAGAGCAAATAGCTCTCCTTGCAAAGCATTATGGGATTTGGTGTCACAGTGGCCCACTGTCGCAACCTGATAGCGGCAAAGTAGTAACAAAGATGGCGCAGGCACCATGCAGTACAGGAGGTGTTGCGTGACCAACAGAGAGCAAAAAGCAGTGATCATCTGTCCGAGTTGACTGAGTTTGCAACTTTATAGTCCCCTCTGTAAATAGTGATTAAGGGGTTGAGAGGACGTTCGGACGCAGTAAGCTTGTATGAGCTATGAGAACAGCAATTTTTAAACAGAGAGTGCACGAGGAGAAATGGACTTGCATGCTCTCACACGCGTATATATATACATATGACTGTTTGGGTCATTAAAAGAAAATGTACATAATAAAGATGACCCGATGAAAAAGAAAATACAAATAAGTATCTAAAACAGAGTGGAAACAAACTTTGCAGAAGTCTGTTTTCACATATGTAATTAGTATCATGGTTGTATGTCAGGAATCTGAATGCTGCAGTATGACATCAGCAGGTCAGTAGAATGGTTTTTATCATGGAGCACAGGAGTTGTCTTGAACATGTTTAGATGAGCTTCGGAGACCTCCAAGAAGTGATGTCCCACTACTGGAGCTCATGTCTGCTGCATCCTGATTATCTTAGCATTGTTTTATTAAGTTTTTTTCTTTTTATGTTTCGCTTATAAAGTTGTGTGTAAAACAGGTGGCAATGAAAGTCATTATATTTTAACTGAGAGGCTATGAAGTTGACTGGAATGATCCAGTGGCATCACCATCTGCAATAAAGACCATAATATGTTATTGTTTGTATTTCAATTTGACTTAACAAATATGCTACAGCTTTTCTCTAAATTGCTTTAGCTTCTACTGGACCAGATTTAGGGAAGTTTAGATCTATATTTGCTCTTAAATCCCCTGCCTTGTTTAGCTTTACATTCGTACGTCAATCCCGATCTAATAATAAAACATTCAGTCTCTTCATTCCAAGCCTTGAATGAAAGGAGGCATCCTTTAACATCTGGGAGGGAGTGACTGTAATATTGTATGTCTGTCATCTCTTTAAACGTCTTTGATCTTAGTCCATATTAAATCTTACTCAGTGCTAAGATGTACACACTCATTCACACACACACCTTGCAAGGCTGCAGGGTCTTTGATGTTGTTAAAAAAAGACGGGGGTGTCAAATGGGATTGTGCACATTTTATTAGCAGAAATCATCAACACCTGAAGATTGTTAATTGAGCAGCTCCTTAAAAAATGTGTTTTATAGATTTTAGATATGTGATATAGATTTGATTTGTATTAGCGGGATTTCTATACATATCCCTCTTGCTCGCGTGTTACTTCTGGCCTTAATCTATCAACAGGCTGACATTTCAGAGGCATCAAACACCGGATGGTGCAGAGCCCATGGTTAGGGACTTTTTTTTTTAATAATTAAGGACAGACAAGATCCAAGAGAATAAAAAGAGCCCTTTGTCACAGAAAATTAGTTGCCTTCCTGCCATGTGATTGGCTTGATCTTTAGATGTAGTCAGTATAGCATGATTCAAGTGGGCTTTGAGTTGCTGCAACCCCTCCAAGGGGCGGATTTAGCGTCCGGGACTATTAGGGCGCCTGGTGGTCATTTAGACGCCTTTGAGGCTAAACAATTTTGTGGTTTGAATTTTCCACAACAATCTACAGATGGATGCACCTACTAATGATGACCATATCAGTCAATATCAAAGCAAGTGTGAGATTTTTTTAAACGGAACACCTTGCAAGACAACACCTCCCCTCTGAAATATTTCATATTTGGTCACATTGCACCCACAAGCTTCCAAAAATATTTGATGAGACTCGGAGAGATTCTTTGAGGAGATCAAGGAAAATAAAGCATTTAAAAAAATAAAAAATAAAACTCTTTAAAAAAGTGATTAACATTCTCATTTAACTTCTATAAGGCAGTCCTTTGCACCTGTTGCAATAGATCTTATTTTCTTTTGCATGTTATGCAAGTTTTCTTATGCATGTTCTTTTCTGGTGTGTGCAGCGGGCTTCCCATCCTGCACTTTGAATGTAGGATAAGTTAGTTTTATTTTCCTCCTTGTGTTTGTTGTGTCCTAACATGGCTTTTTGCAGTCCAAAACAGAGGTTTTTACGGTTTTCTGTCATTGGTGGCTTGCTTCTTAAATCTTAGGATGAGATTTATACAGTGCATGCTAACAGCTTTCCTTTAAAACACAACCTCCCATCTGAGCTCTGGCTCTACAGCTCCTTCAGAGTAACCATGGGGCTCATGGCTTCTTTGATTAATGCTCTTCTTAAATAGTTTGAGTATTCTAATATTTAAAGCTCCTTTTTAGATGACTATTGTGTAGCTTTACTGCTTTAATTTCTAACTCACAAATCTAATGTAAAAAAAAAAAAAGTTTAAAGAAAGATATCAATTTTATAAGAACTTTTCATTACATAATAAAAATGACAGAATGTGAAATTTATTTTAAATGATTCATTCTCTTTTGAATAAATGCACTAGATCTGAATTTTACCCCAAAAAATCTCACCATGGTTCTACAGTATTTCTGATATGAAACATGGAGGAAAAATACGTATTTGTAAGCATCAAATCCAATCTACCAAGGGAATAAAAGGGCTAATGTTGAAATGAAAGTCACGTGTGGCGATATATTTTGCTTTAGAGCTTAACATATTTAGATTTCTACTAAAGATTCAGAGGTCAGCAGAGAAGAAGCAAAGACAGTGGAAGAGCTGTAGAAATATACAGCTCAGGTTGGAGAACTGTTGACAGAGCATATATTAATTGTGCAGTTAACCAACTTGTCCTGTTTGAAATGTGGCAAACTTGTAAATTGTTGATAGGGAGACGGAAGACTTGCAGAAGACTTTGAGCCATGTAGGGAACATGGCAAAGTTTAAAAGAGGTGCTCTGGTTAATTAAAACTCAAATATTTAATATTTTTTAATGTGGCTCCCCGGGTAAAGAGTCCAGTTCTAACCATGTTCTTTAATATTTATTAGTCTAAAAAAGGATATTTCTTTCTCCTGCTGTCTAGATGTTTGCCCACAACTTTCTTTAAGAAAGCTGTGTCTGTTATTATTTAGGATTCCAATTAACTCAAATAATAAACACGTCTTTTTTTTGTCAAGTGTTTTACCCACAGGCACTAAAAACAGCAATTTTCAAACCAGTGTTGAAACAGAGGAATTTGGACAAGCAGCTACTGTAGAACAACATCACAAACCACCTCAAACCTTACCTTCATTAATGAAGTTATTAAAATATCTGTGTTTTGACAGTGTGGGGACTGTTGGCCTAGTGGTTAGAGCAGTGTGCTTGTGCTCTGAGAAGGTTGCAAATAACCGGTTCGATCCCCATAGCTGGCACTCTTGGTCCCTGAGCAAGACCCTTAAGCCCCCACTTCTCCTCGGGCGCTGCACAAAGGCAGCTCACTGCTCCCAAAAGGGGATTTGTTAAATGCAGAGATTTCTCCATTGTGAGGTCAATAAAGTTCAATTTCAATTATAAATGACCAATCACTTTGATATCTTCTATATAGCTTTCATGCTTACCACACTACAGAGACTATCCATGTCAAGGTATTCAGTTGCATCTCAACAGTGTATAAATGCAGACTGGAAGAAGTACAGTGCTTGTGTTATTAGACCTTGATGCAGCTACTGAAACTGTTGATCACTCAATTTTATCAAAGTGCCTGGAAAACTGGCTTGGCCTCCCTGTTACATCACTGAACTGGTTTGAAACCTACTTAGAAAAGAGGGGAGTGTCAGTGTCAAGAGGTACCTTTATATCAGAGACCTGAAAAATCACATGTGGTGTTCCTCAAGGGTCTGTCTCAGGGCCCCTTCTGTTCAATATCTGTTCAATGTTTCCCTTAACTTAGATCTAAATAAACAACAACACAAAATTACTGTAATTTTGCAGAAGACACACAGCTGTACATGACAATGTCACCAAGTGATTATGAACCCATTCAAGCTTTTGGTAAATACATAGGAGAAGTGCATGGCTGTGCCAAAATGTTCTTAGAATAAATCAGAACAAACTGGAAGTAATATTTTTTTGGACCAAAGGGATAAAATGTAAAAGTTTGCACATGACTTAAGTCAATACAGCTAGAACCCATCAATCAGGCACAAAATGGTGATGGACTCAGACCTGGCAAATTCAGCCTTTTATCCATGTGCAATCATTTCCAGGTTTAAATGACTCATGGCTTAGTAGGATTTTGAAAAACCTGTCTTTAGTAGAATTGATTACTGCAACTGTGTCTTCACAGGTCTTCCTAAAAAGATGTTTGCATTTTATCTAGAATGTTGCTGCCTGTGTCCTTACTTAAACTGTCAAAGTGGAGTACAACACCCCGGTTTCTAAAGTTGTAACCCTGGTTCCTCATATCTCAGAGAATAGGATTTAAAATACTCCTGTAAGTCTATAAATCACAGAATAGCTTAGCACCAAAATACACTACACACTTGATATTAGATTAGGTCATGGAGGTCATAGTATACTACTGAGGACTGAAAAGGCTGCTCTCTGGATACATGCAGAGGTGGTGGAGCTTGGGGACTGCATAATGTTCCTAGAACTCTATTTCCTCTGACCTCTCCTCCACTGAGTACTCCTCCCACCGGGTGAAGAATACTCAACAACAACCCCTCTTTCAAGGAAGCTGAAATGGTCTAGACTTTCTGCTAATTTTCTCACAACAATTGAAAGCATCTTATTTCTCAGTAAGGCAGTGTGGTATGACTGTCAGGAAAAATCTATCCTAAGGAAGCATGGGAAGTGAGACAGCATAGAGGATTGTAGGACGTCTTCCAGGTCTAGACTAGATTTTTTGCTAAAGTTCCCATTCCGCATTATCTGACTTACTTCCTGCAGAAAAACTATTCAGAATCAGTACATACAAAACAAATTAACTTAGGAACAGCTTTATTGCAAAATCTCTGAAGGTAAGTTGTCTTCTTCCAGGCAAATACTAAACATCCCTGCTGGAAAAAAAAAAATAAAAAAACATCCCATTTTTTAGAGCTTTTCCAGCACAAGCCACACTTTTATAAAGACTACACATTCCATCCATATTGGCTTATAAAAGTATTCCAACCCCATTTCCACATTTTGTTACATTACAACCAAAAACATAAAAAAATAAACATAAAGTTTTTATTAGAATATTATGTGAAAAACTAACATAGAGTAGTATACCATTGTGAAGTTGAAAGAAAATTATACCCCAATCGGCCTCATTTCATTATATAAAAAGCGGCAGATGACTGCTCACACTGAGTCTGGTCCTGCTGGAGGTTTCTTCCTGTTATAAGGGAGTTTTTCCTCTCCACTGTCGTTACAAGCATGCTTAGTGTGAGGGATTGCCTACGAGTCAATGAGTTGATGCAATCAACTGGTATTCCTTAGGTAGCAAAACTTTGCGTCAATTTGACTGTATGATGTGGTTGAATTGTAAAGTGCTTTGTTGTGAATCGGTGCTATATAACTGAACAGAATTTAATTATGCAAGATACTTACTGACTGTATGAAGAACTCATTCTCTTTTTCATTAAAGGTTTTCTCATCTGCTTAAGCAGAATTCATGCTGTCTTTTGGAGTTAATGGCTAGTAGAACACACTGTAGGTGTACACTGATCAGAGATCATCTCACATCAGTGGTTTCTCTCCTGGTCTTGTTCAGTTTGTTTCTCCTACTCAAACACTGGATTTTGATCCACATTATACATTCATGCACACAGCCTGATAAGCCTCTGGAGATGCCTGTTGATGCAGGCAGCCTTCCAGTAGCTGGCCTTACTTCTGATACCAAAACTGTTAGTGAACGTCCATCACTATAAATGGCTTTTCTGCTAAAACTTCTAATGCGGCATAGCTATATCTCTAAAAGGCAGTAGTGCAATTGATGTAGCTTTGCATGGCTTGCACTTCGCACCAAGTAATTCTCCTTCTAAAACACCTAATTACTGGACTTAATTTACTCTCAGCGAGTGCGTCCAGGTGTGCCCAGTGAGGCCTCAGTGCGCAGACATGCCTCCTCTCATCCGCTGCCAAGGAGCTAAGTGTCAGCACGCGGCCAAAGCACAACACAGGCCTCTTGTTTCTTTACTTAACACCCCTCAGCACTGACATAAAGAAAAGAACCTCTGTCACCAAGGGGCACCGCCGTTCCCTCCGCCTGTCATCGCCAGCCCCCTGTCAACGTGGAGCTCAGCTAGCACGCTCCATCTCTTATCAGCGCTTTTATCAGCTGGGCTCATGCTGCATTCCATGCTGTTCTATACCTGCGTACAGAGACACGTGCAAGCTGAAGGACAGTAGCCCCTTTTATAGGAAACAGCTACATGAGTCTGTTGGCTGGACTTTGATCAATGTTTTTATTGAAATACTGATCAAGATAGAAAAAAAATCAATGTACCACAGAAATTCTTAATTTATAACTTTTTGGGGGTTCAGATCAGGAATAATCCATCTTTAGAAGGAAGAACCTAGATTTCTGTGTCTGCATTGGAGAGCATGCTAATTCCCTTTACGTTACCTCATGCTTCCACCCTTGTTGGTTGAAGTTTTTTATTTACTTTGTTCTTCTCTTAATGTGGGTTTTTGGGGGCAGGAGCAAAGGGTGCAGGAGATGGAGCTGCGGGTAAAGCAACAGTCGGTGGAAATGGAGAAAGGCAACGAGCTACGGCAGACAGTGACTCAGGAGAAGGCCCGGTTGGAGCTCCACGTCGCCTCCCTCAGTGCTGAATTACAGGAAGCCAACAAGCGGTATGCAGGATGAGGGGAAGTTCTGATTTTAGGATAGGACCTGTCTTGAGAAAGCTTTGGCACCCCTTCAGGTTGACATCAAGATTCAGTGAGTTTGTTTGGGATTTTAGATAGCATTATGGTTTTAAATGAGGGGAAATTAATGTTGTTTTTTTGTTCTTAACTAATAAAAATCTATAGTAACTGTTTTCATCAAGTCAAAACTGGTAAGTCTGAATCCCTGGCTTTACACATCTGGAATTTTTTCCCCCTTTCTATTTTGCATCAGGCAAATTGGTTATAAGAAGTGGGTCTGTTTATTTGAATTCTTTCATATTTGTTTGTCATGAAGAATCCAATTCCTGTAGAAACTCAATGACTTATTCCACTGTTTCATTTTTTACTGTTTGAAGAAGATTACATTGATGTTTAAAAGATAACCTGCCCGCATTCTTTAATCTGAGCTTATAATCATGTAGGATTGTGATGCTGCAGAAGGAGAAAGAACAGCAGAGCGATCAACACGAGGAGAACGTGATGAGGCTCCAAGCCAAACACGAGACAGACATCAGCCACCTACATCAGGAACATGCTCTGTCTGCTGCTAAGGTTTATGTTACCTCAGCATGTTCTCTGTCCCTAAATGTGGAGCTCAATGATTATTGACAACAACAACAAAAAAAACATCTCTTGCAGGCTTCTGAAATTATAGAGGATTTGGAGAAGAATGTGGCACAGTTCAAGCAGCAGCTTCAGGAAAGCGAGTATAGAAGACACCAACAAGTTAGGGTTAGGTTTACCAACACATCAGAGGGTTGATAGAAACTTAAATCATCACAGATGTTCTTTTATCTCTGCATAACCTCACCTTTTAAACTTGGCTTTGTTTTTAGGATCAGGAGATGAAGTTCCAGCAAGAGAAGGACGAACTGCAGGCTAGCTGTGACAAAAAGGTAGCAAGAACATCCTCCAGTGACGACTTCTTCACGCTACTGTACTGATTTGTGTCATCACTTAAAAATAATTCTTAAATAGTCTAGAGGGTGTTTAATGCAGGCCTGGCCACACTTATTGGCACCCCTGGTTTAGATGTGAAACAAGCCTTGAAATGAATACTGCAGCAGCAGAAGTATATTTATATATAGCACAAACCAGGCAGAGTTAGGAATGGGAAGTGAATTCTGAGTACTGTAAAAGATGGCATGCTGTTATTTCTGAGGCATGTAACGTCCCTTAAGTGTACCCAGGCATGCACCTAATTGCCCATGCATTCTACTCTTGAAGCCCACTTTAAAGTCAGAGTGCAGCCATAAAGCACCAAGTCGGTGGGTCATTGATAATTAATCCGAGCAGGACCAGCACAGGCCAGACCACTCTGGTAAAGATCAGGTTTAAAATCTGTGCTGCACCTGGGTCATCTTCAAAGTGCCATTCCTCCATGATGTGTATTGGTGGCAGACCAGCTTATTTGGGGCCCTTTGACTGATACACCTGTAAAAACTTAGCAGGCCTTTGTACTCTGCATTCAGGGTCAGGGATATATTTAATTAGGCTTCTCAGAACTCCAGTTTTTGATGTCTGCTTCTTATTTTCTTCCTTTAATTAGATGCCGTTTCTTCTGCTTTTCCTTTAACTTGTCCAAGGTTTCAGGATTTATACGGGGAAGCGTTTGCCGAATAGTTTATTTTCCTTTTTTGTTTCATCTAGAAGGTTTCTTATTTAGAGGTCTTTGGAGTGCTGTGTGAGCTGCCATGATTCAGTATCTGGCTCTTAGAACAGCCCATATGGCGGCCATAGCTCCAAAGTGTTAGACCGATGGGACGTTTGATGGGGTGATGGGGAGAAAAGACGACGGCGTATGCAAAGTGTCACACAGACAGCAGAGCTTTTTCCAGAGTGATGTTTGATGGTGTCTGCTTTTGCACTCACTTAAACCTCTATCTCTGTCCCACTTTTACTTTCTGTGTCTTTCAGGTGTTGGCAGTTCAGAGTGAGGCTGAGAGGGAGAAAATGGAGGCCAAGAGGAAGATAGCCAAACTAGAAGATGAACTAAGGTACAGCCAAAAAAAAAAAAGGTTTATTTATTGCTTTTATTTAAAAAAATGTTTGGAAGTATCACAGTGTCAGTGATGAACTTCAACGAAATATGAGTTCATCATAATAAATAGGTTTATTAAAGGGGGGAAAAGGTATATTTAAAGTGTTTATTTCTTTTAATTTAGATGATCATTAATCACAGCTGATTAAAACAGTACATTTACTTTCTCCAACTGATAAAAAGGCTCATAAATATAAACTACACACAATATACACAGAAATATAAACTTAATTAATGTATGTCCGTATATGGCTCAGTATAAACACTCATTACTTGTTCGAGCTATTGCTGCAGCATGATATATAAGCAAATCAGTATTTCTGTTTGGTTTAAATGAAATCCTATTGTTTTTAACTCTTTAAGCTTGTGTGCTTCCGTTGGGTCTGACATGCAGATCTTGTTCTTCCACACTTTTTCCCTCGACTCAACTTTTTGCAGCTTTCTGTAGACAACCATAATCATCAAATCTAACACCGATATATATCAAATGTATCACTGTACGATTTATTTGGATGTAAATGTAATTAAAAACAAACAAAAGAAATGTTTCACTGGACATTTTATGAGCTAATAGGTCTTCCTCACACCCAAATGTTTGCCATGTTGTGGGAGTCAAAGCTCCAACATCTGGGTTGATGCTTGCAGATTTGTCTTTACTTCTGCAAATTCCTAGAAGTTAAACATTAAGAAGTAAAACCAATGAGGGAAACCTTTCAAAGAAACTTTAGTTCAGGGACAGATGGTGAGTTAAAGCCACATCTTAGGTTCTGGAAGAAGCATAGAGTCTGAGAAGTACGCAGTTTGTTTCAGAGTTACATCACACTCTTTAGCCTTAACTTTCTGAGTTCTGTCTTTATTAGCGAGTTGTTTATATCTCTCGACTTCAGTCTTTGATCATAAGAACAGTGGGTATGAATTTTGATTTAAGGTGGAGTTTGGCTTTAACAAGCCCATTCTTTGATCTTTAAAGTAAGTGAGAGTTGAACTGCCACATCTGAGGGCTTTGAAAGTGTTTTTTCATCAGACCTTTACTTGAGAATGTTTGCTATGTTTATGTTATTAATCCTACTTATTTAATTCTGGCATCTTAGATTGCGAATAAAAAATAAAAAAAAAAGCATTGACAGTCACATACTTTTATTCATTTATAATTTTTGGATTTTATTTTCAAATTTTTGAAAAAGAAAAAAAATGGAAGTCCCCATCAATTTTCCCCTTGACCTGTTAGGTTAGCTGGCTTCTCTAAATTGCTTTGTTTTTTTTTAGGTCTGTTTGGGAGCAAACACAAACTTCAGCACTAAAGGCTCAGATACAGTATCTGTATATCTGTCAATAAAATGTATTATGTTTAAATCTATATATGATCAGATTTGTTTTGTAAGAAACTTGCATTTTACAAATGATCTCCTTTATGAGTACTAAGCCCCTTTTTTCTATAGTTGCATTTAGTTTCCTAGAATACGTTTCTAACCCTTAGACCCTCTGTTACTTAAAGACAGCTTTTTCCCCATGACTAGAAAACAACTCCTACAGGAACACAAGCCGCTCTCTACTAGTCCAATAATCGGACATTACACCGTCATTGCACTATTTATGCAATGTACTGTATTTAAACAACATTCCTGTCACTACATCTAACTGAGCTTAATGCTGCTTAAAACACATGATGCCCATGGACATGTTTCTGTATCTTTTACAATTACAAGAAAGTTTTTCCTTCTTTGTCACATTTTGTGGTTTTTAAAAACTGAGAGTGCTTTATATTTGATCAGGCAACAGTTTCTAGAAGGTCTTTTTTTTGTAGATAGATTTTTTTTGGCATTTGGAGACTACGGTACAATATTTGGCCATTACTTGCAATAGGATTGTTTGTAAACTAATAATCTTCAACAAACCTTTAAGGTCATCCAAAACCAGCTGGACTCAGAGGATTTTTATTTTATTTGGCTGAATTTCAAAGCAATTTGCTCATCTTAATTGTACTTAAAATGAACAACTGGGTTTCAGACGTATTGTTGTATTTTTAACTTTTTTTCACCTCTTGCAACGCATCAATGATAAAAAAATCTTTCACTGGAGCAAAGTGGAACTAAATTTATATTCCCTTTTTGTTTGCACAAAATTAGTGAAGAAAGCAGGTTCTGCTGATGATTTGTGTTTATACATATCACCGGCCACTTTATAAGGTACCCCATGCTAGTAACGGGTTGGACCCCCTTTTGCCTTCAGAACTGCCTCAATTCTTCGTGGCATAGATTCAACAAGGTGCTGGAAGCATTCCTCAGGGAGTTTGGTCCATATTGACATGATGGCATCACACATTTGCCGCAGATTTGTCGGCTGCACATCCATGATGCGAATCTCCCGTTCCACCACATCCCAAAGATGCTCTATTGGATTGAGATCTGGTGACTGTGGAGGCCATTTGAGTACAGTGAACTCATTGTCATGTTCAAGAAACCAGTCTGAGATGATTCCAGCTTTATGACATGGCGCATTATCCTGCTGAAAGAAGGCATCAGAAGTTGGGTACATTGTGGTCATAAAGGGATGGACATGGTCAGCAACAATACTCAGGTAGGCTGTGGCGTTGCAACGATGCTCAATTGGTACCAAGGGGCCCAAAGAGTGCCAAGAAAATATTCCCCACACCATGACACCACCACCACCAGCCTGAACCATTGATACAAGGCAGCATGGATCCATGCTTTCATGTTGTAGACGCCAAATTCTGACCCTACCATCCGAATGTCGCAGCAGAAATCGAGACTCATCAGACCAGGCAACGTTTTTCCAATCTTCTATTGTCCAATTTCGATGAGCTTGTGCAAATTGTAGCCTCAGTTTCCTGTTCTTAGCTGAAAGGAGTGGCACCCGGTGTGGTCTTCTGCTGCTGTAGCCCATCTGCCTCAAAGTTCGACGTACTGTGCGTTCAGAGATGCTCTTCTGCCCACCTTGGTTGTAACGGGTGGTTATCTGAGTCACTGTTGCCCTTCTATCAGCTCGAACCAGTCTGGCCATTCTCCTCTGACCTCTGGCATCAACAAGGCATTTCCGCCCACAGAACTGCCGCTCACTGGATGTTTTTTCTTTTTCGGACCATTCTCTGTAAACCCTAGAGATGGTTGTGCGTGAAAATCCCAGTAGATCAGCAGTTTCTGAAATACTCAGACCAGCCCTTCTGGCACCAACAATCATGCGTGTTTCAAAGTCACTCAAATCACCTTTCTTCCCCATACTGATGCTCGGTTTGAACTGCAGGAGATTGTCTTGACCATGTCTACATGCATAAATGCACTGAGTTGCCGCCATGTGATTGGCTGCTTAGAAATTAAGTGTTAACGAGCAGTTGGACAGGTGTACCTAATAAAGTGGTATATATCTATATATATATATATATATATCTATATATATATATAGATATATATCTATATATATATATATATATATATATATATAGATATAGATAGATAGACCTTTATTAGATTCCCAAATTGCTCTTTGTTAAAAAACTTCACCTGACACCAACCAATCAGTAGATCATCCTAACCCCTGCAGCGTGATGTACCTTTGTCTCCAGCAGATTAAAGTTACCCTGCCAAACTTAAAATAAGTTCTGCACAAGTCACCCCAGCAACAGCTCAACCCACGGAGCAGCCTCCACTCCGCTGTCAGGGAAGTCAGGAAGTTTTAGTTGCAATGTTTCATGAAACAGAACATTCTTCCTTGTGTTTCCGATGACTTTAGCTGAAGCTGTGAGGCAGAGTTAATTTCATAGTTTCTTTATTCTTTAATCAGTGTTTAACAAGTCATTTTCAGTCTGCTGTCCTGTTTAGAATACAGTGCAACCATAACAAGACATTAGTTGCTATACCTGCCTATTGTTTGCATGTCAGTGTCACACCGACACGGCAGATAAAGAAAAGCTTTAACACAGCAGGCAGATCTGCTGCTGCATAAATTCTCATTGTTAGTATCAGTAACGAGGCAGTCATTCACTCCTTTAGAGTTAAACACAGAAACTGGAATGCAGGGCTTCTGCTAATTAAGTACTTGGCCCCACCACACACACACGGACACACACTAACAGACTAAGCAGTCTGATGTCTTCTACCTGCCTGCTGCCCTGGCAACACTAAAGGCCTTTAAAGGCGATCCAGAAGAACTTCAAAGTCAAAGCAAGACCACACGCAGGTGTGTGTGTGTATGAGTATGAGGGGATGGATGGTGAAATTAAACAAGTTGAGCTGCTTAAGATGCCTCCTATGTGCCAGACGCTGCCTGGTATGTGTTTTTCTCGGATTTATACTGCTGTTAAATTCATGAAAACACAACCTGTTTGCTGTTTTTATAGGTATATATGTTGTTATTATGAAAGAACAGCACCTTGTCTCGCAGTGCAAACAGACACGGCTGCATCAAATTTATGCCAAGTCTTTGTTACTATGGCAACAACAACAACAAAGAAGTTTCTTTCCCATCCCTGACTTCTGTGCACCTTAGATCATTACAGGGCATTAGCATAGAGATGGAGAGGTGCACCGCAGAGGGAGGGAAGGTTGTGCATAAAGAGGGGGAGGCTCACCTGCTTTTGCTACAATGACCTGAAAAAAACCCTGTTTTAAAACAACTAAAAGACACCTGTCAGGTAAAAGTAGGGGGGGGAAAAACTGCATTCATTTTAGTTTAATTCTGCTTCTCTCTCTTTTTTTTTTTCTAATCTTTGTGTTTTCCTTTTTGGCACTTGTTACCAGGTTGGCCTTATCAAAACGATGCATCTACCTATCAGGTTTTCTGTGGAGTCCCTCTGAAATCTAACAGTTAAAAAGACTTCACTACTTTATCTATGGAAAAATAATAAGGTTATTTCTTAAATGTGTTTTTTTTTTAATGTTCCCTCTTTTACTTAAATCCAGGTTGTGCTTAGAAAAAAAAAAGAGTTTTTCTTATTTTATT